AATCCTGTAATAAAACATTCAGCTTCTTCAATAATCAGAATGTATCAATTAAAATGCACACAATGATAAAAAGATCGACTTGGGGATCCTGTCGACAAAGAAGCAGAAAACCTCAGTTTTCCCTCTTAAGTAAAGTATAATTAAAATATATTATTCCGTCATTGAACAGCTATTGGCACTGGCCTGGCAAGCACTCACTAATCAGTAATGTTAACTCATTTTGGTCAATTTGTTTTAATGATACACAAAGTTCTTCCTGGCGTGGTGGTACTGGGGATCCTCAAAGTTTCTGGCCATTATTTCCAGTTCATTTGAGCGACACTCTTCTATCTTCCACAACACTTCCTTGCTTGCTTTTCTGTTCTTTTCTCGAACAAAGTGCTTCTGTAAACTTGGACGGACAAGGTATGAAGCCTGCTCTTTAATCCAGCCTTCAAACTCTTCTGCGCTCTCTCCCACGCAGCCGTCCAGGAAACCAATTTCAGCGGCTTCTGAGGCCAGAATAGGTTCAGCATTGGACAACAACTCGCTCGCCTTTTCCTGGCCAACACGCTTCGGAAGGAAGTAGGTGTGGTACTCCGAACCGTAAAGCTTCATTAGCTTGTAGTGAGGATTCAGCACCACTCCTTCACGTGCAAAGGCAAAGTCACTGGCTAGAGCCATCATGGCTCCACCAGCGCCAGCATTCCCACGTAAGGCCGAGAACGTGATCTTTTTGCTGGTGAAAATGCAACGCACGACATCGTTGATGGCATTGATGTTCTTCCACGATTCTTGTGCTGGGTCTTGTGCTGCTTCGATGACATTTAAGTGGATGCCATTACTGAACATGTCATTGCCGCCCATGAGGACCATCACTTTGCAAAAGTCATCTTCTTCCACCTTACGCAGAACGGAGATCAGACGCTGACACTGGCTGGTACTCATGGCTCCGTTGTAAAAATCAAAGTGTACGAAGCAGACGCCGTCTGGAGTCATGCTTGTCCAGATGTCCTGACTTGTGTTGGGGTGGAAGCCATGCGGGACTGACAGAGTGGGGTCTGCTAAGGTTGGTGCATTGGTTTTTATCCACATGGTGGCGGGAAGTTTCAGCTTATCTCTCTTCAGATGTGACACCCAAACGGCTCCCCTGCCGCACTTGACTAGGACAGATCCGTGACGTTGGCCCAATATTTCACCAGGTTTCCCAGACAGAAATTTGGTTCTTCCTTTCTCCAGGTGTGCTCCAAAGACACGAAACGCCTTGGTCCATCCCCAGTCTTCAGCACCCTCTTTAGTTCGAAAGTAGCCGGTGGTTCCTGGCGCTGAATCAGACATGCGAATCTGACAAGCTACTTCGTCTGCTGGCATTTCCCAGTTGATAGTGCGGTCAGTCTTGGTCATGTTTGGTCGGCAAGTTCCTCTCACATGTGGATTGTTGTAATCAAGAGGTCTGGGTGCTGTTCCGTCTAAGAGATTGTCAATGGCTTCTAACACTGCCTTCACAGCTGTTTGTGTCACTTCGTTCACGTACAAGCTCGACTTGGTCAGAGTGTTGATGTCTTGTCGCCTAACAGGAAAGTTCTTAGAGCTCCAAATGTCTCCTGAGTCCATTTCCAATGCCGCTTCAAGAACGCTCACTCCCCACTCGTCTTCTTTATCATACAAGGCCCAGTCTATGGAACTCATACCACGGTCGCCCTCGATTCCAGGATGGACGATCCAACAAGGGATGTTGGAATTGGAAAATATTTCTTGTGGAATTCTTTTGGTGAGAAATGGACAAAGGATGAGATCAGGTTGTGCATCTGAAGCCAAACTAATCATCTGTTGTGGATCGTCGATTTCGTGCACAGTGATAGTGTGTTGCCTCTTCTTTAACTCCAGAGCCATTCTCTGGCTGAGGCTGTTATGCTTGTTTGCGAAAAAGAGGATGTTGAGCTTCTTTTCCAGCTCTGGGCGCGTTAAGACGGGAACTGGTTTCAACTGTAACTGGGATTCAAATCGTCTCGAAATACGAGAGAGAAATCGTGGCTTGAGGAAGCTTTTCAGCATCGTTATTCTGGACATCTTTCCTGTCAACTAAAGAAAAAGTTTCATTTAGTCTCTATAGTCAGCAAAACAGTTTGGTTTTCAACACCCGGGAAAACAGTGGTTTTGTTGCTGGTGACCACTCGCCTTCTCAAAATAGCACCCGCCAGAGGTCAAAATAAACATGTTCAAATTCCTTAGCCGTGAGCATGTGTCAAGATGTCTAGGGGTTTGATTCATCAAAGTAATCATAATCCCTTGCCAGTGTGTTCGCGGTATGTTACTGGTGTGCATTACAGTATAGATCAGGCCACAAACATGCAATTTTTGTAACAAAGCACCATGGTGCCAAATTATAACCTACAGTGTTACGTAATGTTACATGTATTTCATGTTATCTTATGGTTCTGTCTCTCAAACAAAAACCTATGACTATGTAATGCGAAGACATCAGCAGCTTAACTGTCAGGAAAAAGAACGCAGAAAGGAGAAAATGTCGCCGACAATTGTAGAAAGTCTCCTACCACTTCAGAATGCAGCAGAGGCACAACCTTCATTTTGTGAACATTCGGAATACCACATGTGCAACTCAGACTTTCCAGAACACACTTTTTCGACACAAAATCAAGTCAAGTGATAGCCAAAATCTGAATTCTGGGTATTTGTGAGGAAGCTCTCCCAAAACCGACTGCGGTCAACTGTCGGCCAACAGGTTACGAACAGGTTACCGACAAGCTACCGATAGGCTACCAAGAGGTTACCGACAACAGTTTTCTGTTGAATAGACTGGAATAGAGCAAAAATCCGCTCAACAAAACTTACGACTCTTACAATATACATCTCGGGTGCAGTGCAGAGAATGATAGAATTTGACTGAGGAAGAATAATTAATTAGATAAGATAGATAGGTCAGTACTTGGCCACGCGGTCAATTAGATTTTCAGATTTTTTTTTCTTCACAAAAGCAATACTTCGTAGAGGTTATTTCTTATGGAGCCCGGATTGAAAAGTTGATTCTCGTTCTGCAATCAGTACTCAATGAGAGAAGTGTACTTACCTTATAGTGTACTTACCCCATCGACCGATAGCCTGGAACAGGCTATCGGTCAATGGGGACGACCAAAAAAGCAACCCGAATCGAAATGTTTATTTCTAGTTCCGAATTATTCACGAAAAATAAGGAGTGTACTTACCCCAACCATGCAAAGAAGAGATCAAGCCAGTAACGCCGAACTAGTAGATCAAGTGAACTGGCGAAGTCCTTCTGTAAGTCGAGAGTATATGCAGCTAGCATTCCTAGCTGGCAGGGCGACAAAGCGTGTATGCGACACGTGACGAGGGCAACAGTTAGTGGGTGCACGTGTCGTGTCGCGTGAAACGCAACTCAAAGACACGTGATGTGTGACTGAATTTATGAAACAAAAAACATCATATATCATTTATGGAGAGGAAAACAGTGAAACTAAAATTCGATCGCTAAAAACGTTTTGAAACGGCCCCAAAATGTCACTAAAACACAATTAGGACACAGAAGAGTCGAAGTAGGTCATTCTTATTGAATTTCTTTTCCACATTTCGAACTATTATAAACGATCGTTACTTAGCTCTTATTAACCGANTCTATCTATCTATCTATCTATCTATCTATCTATCTATCTATCTATCTAGAGTGAATAAATGTTTGAAAGAAAATTCGCCCTGAGTGGGATTTGAACCCACGTCCCCCCGCATACTAGTCGGGTGTGAAATCCACTACACCATCAGGACAACCATGCTGGCAACACGGCAATCGAAGATATGATTTACGTGACCTGGAACGTGGTCTCCCGGGAAATTTTCTTTCAAGGTGACAAGGTAGGGGAAGCCTATAACTCCGTTTGAAATCCAACCAAGGATCAAATTCATGATACACGACCGAAGTCAACTTAGCGGATGACAATGGAGGATCCACAAGGGATACAGGCTACTTTTAAATTAATTTGTACTGTATATGAAAGAACCCCTGACCCTGTGCATCCCAAATAATTATATTATATATAAGTTATATATATATATTCAAATTGAACATAACATTGTTAAGAATCCCAACTGGCCGGAGGCAAACCACTTGGCTATTTACAAGCGTGGCCGAGGATTTGAACTCGGGGCTACCGAGAAACAAATTCAGGTAGTGGTCAGAGAGGGACTCGAACCCGGGACGGCTGGATCGCGAGTACGACACGCTGACCACTTGACCACGCTTGCCTTAATAGTCCTCCGTCCTACGGACTTCGCACTAAAAGCTAAAAGTTGTTCTTTTTTTATGTCAAATGATGGCCTCCCACTTATTCCAACTCTATTGAAAGAAAATCTGTAACCTCCAGATTCTGACTGATTAACTATTTCTGGTTTGAAAACTTGTAATTGTTTGTATGAGTCTTATGACGGCTTCTAAATGCGGTCTGTAGCCGTCAGCAGAAACAAAAGATTGCTGCAGTTCCTCAGTTGCTTTAAAAGGAATGTAAAATGTATAAGTACCGTTTAGATTTAACTTAAGAATGAAGGCACACTAACACACTTAAGTTAAATAGTATGTTGAAAAAGAGAAATAGAAAATTTAATACAACAATAGGAAGTCTAAGCTCATCTTGGCGGGTCATGTCTTAGGGCATTATTTTTGAGATTTCCTTGATTTATTGTTAATAAGACAAGTAATAGTCTGCTCTATCAATAAAAGGTTCATTTGCGACATTTCAAGTTTATTAAAGTCAAATAGCCTAGCCTGAACAACCGAAGAAAGATAGAATGATAACTCCAAAAATGTCGCTTCACTTGCTTCTCGTACTTCAGGATCGATCAGAACCAACGCTTCCATAATTAGGTTCGTCGTAGTCGTGAGGCGTCAGAGGCATGCAAGAACATGTACATGCGATGGTAGCACGCCGAGAGAGTGAATTCTTACTAATTTACTAAACAAATACCTAAACAGTCCTCACACAGAAAGCCCAGGAGACTACAGGCGATCTCCTGGAAATGAGCGTATTTCAGGATAACAGATAAGACTTCTCATTCGTCACCGACAATGTTGGACCAAGTTACATTGGATCGGGTGTTGCCTACAAGAATGAAATACGTTGCCATTTTACTTTGCCAAAAAGTACTGTGTGAGATAGAGTGGCCTGCCTTCAAATTACTAAGACGGAATATTGATAGTTTGATTCACATTACCGAGAGGCGAATTTTGTCGCAATACAGGAAAATGGGAGACCAAGTTACAAATATACACAGTTGTTCAAGAAGCCACAACTACATCGACGAAAATATCAGTGATGCTTTGACCACTAACGAGCTAAACAAAGTCTTGCAAAGATTTAACTGAAGTGGTGATGTGACTGTTTTGACATCGAGTCAATTATCAGTTTGATAGAGTAATACAGACCTATATCGTACGGTACGCCTCATTCGATTTAGTTTGCATAGAAGGTGTTTTTCTTGTCTGATTACTTGAATCTTAAGGCACACGATGATCTATGAATAATAAAAGAAATTATTTTGGGAGCTTCCTTGGAGTAACCTACGTTCATTAGGATTGTATTCGTCACCTGAGATGATGTGTTGAATGTGAGCCTGTTTTTAGCGTTTTTAAATCATGATAACCTTTTCTTTCACAGAATTGTCATTTGTGATTCGAATGAATACCTCAGTTACATTTAGACACCCGAAACAAGTCTGTCAACCCAATTTACGTGATTTGTTTACCCCAATTCCAAAAAACAAAACACAACATTTCACCATTCGCAAGGCTCCAAAAGAAAACTTAGGAACTGAGCACTTAAATCCAGGACGTTTTGCTTTAGAAAGCAGACGGAGCATAGCGGCTTTCTCATTTTGTTTTCGGACAGAAATGTCGATTCCTGTTCTGCAAATCGCAAAGACATTATTCATTAAGAGGAACTTACTTACCTTGCCTTTGCAGAGAGTGATTCTAGTCAGGATAAAGAAGAGGTGAGAATTGACTGATCAAGTCACAACCGAACCGAACTACTGAATGATCAAGTGAACCGGTCAAGTCAGGATTATATATAATTTCAACACGGAAACGGTTAAATTACGGTTTTCCAAACACTTTTCGGCGAAAAACAAAAACTTAGTGACTCAGAGCGGAACACGTAACGTTCAATATCCTCTTTTGCCAAGAAACAATACTGTTTACTTACACTGATCATGAGTTCTTAAGGGAGCTAATTTTTTCAAATTAAATCCTGCTCTTTAACAGTTGCTTTATAAAGATCAACAGAACGTTTGTCTACTCAAAAGTTACTCATAGAGCAAAATAATTTAGAAATGCAGTTTTCAGACGCGCACAAAACCTGGTTATAAACTCCCTTCTCCCCAGTGTAATGTTATGTTCCATGACTATGCAGATTTAAGTGATTATTTTCCCAGAAAGGACGCCACTCAGTAAGTACGTTTTTCCTTGTCACGTTCAGTGGTAATCATCAGTTACGCGGATTACTTCCCGGTAAAGGTAGAGGAGGTCAGAGACTGGTGAGAGACTAAGCAACTGCGGAAGTCATTGATTTGTCACGTTCAGCTCAGAAAATCATGATCTTTGGCCAACGATGAAGACGTCAACGGAACATAATAAGTAGTTGCTCCGGGGGTCCTCCGGCCAAACTGTCAATGTTTTTTCAAACGTCATGTCACATCCACGACATGGCAAAATTTTCGTTTGTTCGTTTTGGGGGGATTTTTTGAGTATCCGGTTCCAGGCGTCCGTATAGTTGGAGAGTAGTACGAAGGGCGCGAGACAGATTAGAAAAGGAGTGTAGTGAGGGAGGGCGCTTCTCGACCCCTCGCCATATTTTTTCTCTCGTCGCTTTTCGCGATGCTAACAACCAAAAATAATTAAATTAGCGAATGTCTGAAGAAAACGCTTTTAAGGTATCAGTATAACCCATTTGACCATCCGCGCGCGGTCCGCTCTAGCGTTNTTAATTCACGTCGGCAGCAATTCTTGTTATCAGAAGAATCAGCAAAGGAAAAAAAGGCCCTTTCCAGAGAATAATTAGCAAAATGGAAAAGCCAAAATGGAAAACCAAAACAAAATATGTTTATTGCACAAACTGATGGTCACTCATCAGAGCATAACGTATCCTTTTTGAAAGTTGTATACAAATCTTAAAATTAATAACAGCAATATTACTGTTGCCGTTTCGTTATCAGTGAACTTATAATCAAAACGGAAAATGGTTGACTTGATGAAGCGAGTAAGTTTTTAAGCGTATGACGGAAAGTTGTAACATGTATTGGAAATGACGTTAACCCACTCAGGAAAAAGAACAAAAAATTTTTTTGAGTGAGGTACAAGCAAAATCAAGACCATTATACCTTCAAGAAATAAATAGACGTACGTACATGGAATATTAAGGATGCTTTATGCAAAACGAGAGGAGAAATGAGAAAAAAAAACGAAGAAAATAAGGTGAAGAAAAGGAAAGTAAACAAACTCTTACTTACCAGGATTTGTCGTTTGTTAGGCATTGTTAAATCTGAACGATGGTAATTTTGTTACTAAACCAAGTCTTTATCTTGTATCAATCTAGTATTATTTCATCAGACGGAAAGCTGAGGTAAACCCATCAGTACAACTGGATTTAGTTTTTTTTTTCTTTGAATGGATGACCTTTAATGTCCACAGTACTTTACTGACAGAGGAAAGTTTGCCATGTATTGAGTGGATTTAATGCCACACTTGAGCCAATTTATCAGCCCCCAAACATATCAGGAACATGATAAATGAACGTGAAGAGTTCCATGAAATATTCAAATGCTCAACTCAAGAAGATGACAATGCATCGGCGCAATTAATTGAAATGGTCATGATATCGATGTTCATGAAGTTTTTGTCAAATGGTCAGAGCTAGTATAGTTTTCTCTCTTACGAGGTAAACATTGCTAAGTTTTATTGAATTCATCGTAGACTCTCACTCGAGCTGAAAAAAACAAAACAAAACAAACAGATCTCGCCCCTAGCTCGTAATTGAGCAGCTTTGTAAATCGTATTTTCTCAGTTTTTGACATAATTAACATTTGATTTGATTTCGTCACTGAACATTTCCTTCCACCTTGGTCAAAAAGACATTAAAAAAGGATACAATACAGATTATAAACTGTGTAAGCGTACTTACCTTCAGCTCTCTCGTCCAATGAATTACTCAGTAAAGAATGTATAAAAACAGAGAGTGATACAAGTACAACGGAGGAGGATTTTAAAATTTGGAGGTACACTATAATTCGTCCGGCCAAACCAACCTTCTGCAGGTACAATGAAAATTTTACCTTCGAAGTGGTGTTTATGTAGTGGTCATGGTATTTGCATAATACAGGAAACACGTAAAACAACTACCCTGGGAGGCAATGATTCCCTTCTCTTTCTGCTCAATGAGAGACGTGAGGGAATACACTCGATCGTTTGACCCTGACAACCAGGAACGAATGAATTAAAACACGTTTTAATTAATTTGTTTATAATTTGCACGTGACAAAAAGGATTCAAAGTGCTACTTGTTTGAGAGACAGCCAACAATATCCGCTGCCCTGTGATTGGCTAAAAACACTGCATGTACCAACATGGGTTGGCAATTTGGTTTAATTCGTCCTTTTCGTTGTCGCACAGTATCCCAGAATTTTATGAAATTTCTGAAGTTTCTCTAACAAATAAACGGTACAAAAGTTGGAATTCAAGCATTTACCACAATGGAACCGAAAATAGGTGAACTAAAAATTTGATCACGTGCAAACGTTTCGCAGGACAAAGCATGATAAATCTGACATGCTGACATAGCTCGCGCATCCACAACAGAAAATCGTGCGGTCGAGCAGAGGTTCTCCGCGCTCATAAACGAGTAGAAATAGAAGGGAATCTCTGTCTCGCATGGTACAAACAAACTTAACTGACAGGGTGTAAATTAGAAATAAGTTAAAATAAACAGATGAAATAGAGATACGATAAAGAATAAACAATAAAGGGAAATTAAAATTTCCCTTTATTGTTTATTCTTTATCGTATCTCTATTTCATCTGTTTATTTTAACTTATTTTTAATTTACATCCTGTCAGTTAAGTTTGTTTTTATTTTTCTCCGCGGAGGTTAAGATCATCAGAATTAATTGTTCTCCTTTTTACAATTATTGAAAAAGCTTTCCTCACCAAACGGATTGGGATTAGTGTATTGCATGTCGTTGGTATTATGGTTGGGAGAGGAGAGGACATGTTCAGCAACTGTAAGTAGGTTTCGATTTGGGGTTAGGGTTGTCTATAGTATTACAAAATATTGAATCACGTAGACGAGGTTTTTAGTGTCACAGGTCGAGTGAGATTTAATAAGGCGCGTATCCCAGGTGCAAAGAAGGTATAGATACTTAGTCCATCATAAATGTGGGGACAAGTGGCTTGTGGTTAATTTCAATTTACTTTGTCAATGAAGTTAGTTTTCGACAAATTATTACGCAAATACCGGGATCACTACATAAACA